CTTGCCGAGTGAACTGAAAATGTGACAGACTCAGTTAAGCAGTATATACGAAAAAAAGTTGGGTTTCGAGGACTTTCTTGTTTCATAATTGTTGGGCTTACTTCCATTTCGAGTAGTGTTAGGTTGAGGAGATTCGAAGGTCGGTTCCACCAGAAGACGACGGCGGATTCCTCTTGACCAGCTGTCGATTGGTTTTACTGGAAGATTCATGCTGACGCGAGGATTCGAAGGTCGGTTCCACCAGAAGACGACGGCGAATTCCTCTTGACCAGCTGTCGATTGGCTTTACTGGCTTCGAAGGTCGGTTCCACCAGAAGACGACGGCGAATTCCTCTTGACCAGCTGTCGGTTGGCTTTACTGGAGCCGACCTTCGAATCTCTTCACCCAACACTTCTACTCGAAATGGAAGTAAGCCCAACAATTAGTCAAGCAGGGCTGAAAGCATGCGTTGGTTCAAGCTAGAGGCGACTCTTCGCAGAATGGTACAGCTCCTGGACCGGACCAACGATCGTGGTCTTTCATCTTGGCTTGCTTAGTTGCTTGGCTGCTTGCTCGCTTGGTTGCTTGGTTGCTTGCTTGTTTGCTTGTTTGCCTGACTGTCTGCCTGCATAAACCTCCTCACTTTGACGAATCTACCAAAATTTGAAATGCCACGGAGTGCAGGCAGACATCATAATCATTTGTGTGGACTGACGCTGTCATCACGACGTCAATTAGTTTGTCCTGTTAACATAATTTGATCAACTAATTTAAATTCCGTTGCTGGTCCAGTATAGTAACACAGCCCTGGCAGAGGGCACAGTTACAATCATGCCGAGGGAGTGGGCCCGTAGCGGCCTACGAAAATGAGCCCTCTGAGAAGGGGTTAGCAACTGCACGCAATTAGGCCAATGCATTGACTGTTGGCGTACATTTTTTCACTTTCTATGCCTATCTGTCTGCATGTCTGTGTGCATTTTCACCCCATCCCATCGTCGCAACAACAACAATGAATGTAAGACCCAATGCCATTGCGTCACTGTTGTGTTGTCCATTTGATTATAGGCATGCGTGCGTGTGTGCATGTGTGGATGAGTGTGCAAACATATACAGATGAGGTGTGCGTTTGGTGCCACCTCTTTGTGCGCATGCGAATAGGTTGTACTGAGGCCTAACGCAACTAGCCGTAAATGCATGCGAGTAAGGGAGATTGAGGCCGAATTCGTGGAGTGTGGGTGCTCAACTGCTTCAATCGTCTAATCTGACCCATTGCCGGAATCAGCTTGTCTCCGCACGGCTTGACAGTTCATCACATCAAAATGAGATTTCTCGCGATGGCATGACACTGGCCCACCTCTTCGGTGGAGTAGGGGGTAAGGGGTTGTGTGAGATCAGGCTGAAGTGCATGATAGCCTGGCGAATGCAGGTAGGATAGTAGAGTTTGAGAGAGAAGAAACACTGAAATAGAATGCGTGCATATTGCATGCAAATGTAAAGGACGAAATTCACTAGCCACGACCGGGATAGCCTCGGATTCCGAGGGGCGGAGACAAAGTGGAGAGGTGGGAAGCGGGATGGGGGAGGAGGACGAGTGTGAAACAAGGCTCGAGAGCCAGTGAACTAAGACTACCATCATGGTGCAATTATGATAATGTAAGCACGGCTCCTGAATGAGATAACAAATTGCTTTCAGTCAGATTGCCTGCTCGCCCGTTGTCTGGGTGGACAAGGCCCAAAACGGCCATTTGATGAATTGCATGCCATCTTCTCTGCCTCCGAGGCGGTCAGTCAGTGGGACTCGAGCTCAGACAAGACCCCGATTCTGTCATCCCTCCGGACAGTTGGTAATAAAACTTTGATATTCACCAACTTATTAGCCCCCTTTCGCCACCTTCACTTGGCTCTTTCTTACCTCTCCTTAGATTACCTTTACGACAGCCCTCGATACCTTTGATGCATACACACAAGGCCCATACCAGTAGAGCCATCGAGTACGCCCGTGCCCATCTGGGGCTTACTTTCACCCGGCCTGCATACAAATTAATAAACATCACTTGCATTTTCAGTATAAGTAGTTTTATAGAATGATAGGTTAGTCACCTTAGAACCCTTAGGGACTGATAGTTAAGTGTGCCAAAAGATAGTGACCTAGGATGATTCAATTCTTATTACGGAAAAGACTAGTTATACCAAAAATAAGTAGCGTCGTTGAGTAAAATGGCAAACTCATGTCTAATTAATTGTCGATTCCACTAAGGAAAATGTCATTTGGCAGAGGCTTTTCTTTCTTTCTGTTCATAAGGAGATTTTCGAGACTATTATTAATATTGATCCTATTTCTTTTTTGAGTGATCAAGATCTGGTAGATGAATTTTTCCACAATCATATAAGTAGGCTTCATGCCCCCATTGAATTTTACTTAGCCTTACTTCTTATAAGATACTCTGATCCAGACTGGACTGGGCCATAGTTTCGGTCTCTCGTGAACTGATCTTATGAGCATTCCTCATCGGGACTCGAATCCTGATTGTTGTAGTGTAGTGCAGTGGTTCCCAAACTTTTCCTAGTCACGGCGCCCTTTTTCAATTAAAATTTTTCCATGGTGCCCTACCCTAAGTATGAATATTCGTAAGTAAGAGATAAAAATATATAAACTCGTGTATCTACATTACTATTTTTTTACTTTATTGACATTAAATTAATATTCAATAATTACTGTGATGAATAAGCCTGCAAATCACTGCCCATTTTCTCAAATTGAAGCTTTTATAATATTTCGCGGCGCCCCTGTAAAGAGGCCGCGGCGCACAGTTTGGGAATCACTGGTATAGTGTATACTCTCGACAAATGTTAACTGTTACGCCACACTGCCACGAACATCCATGGATCACAGGGAAAAAATGAATTTCAAGTAAGGCCAGCCTTACCCATATCACATTTCAGTGTTGGCATTGTCGACGAAGAGAAATCGTGTCTGCTATCGCAATCAACTACATTAGTTATTTTCCTTTTATAAAAAGGATTTTGAGATTACTAATAGATCTGATACAAAGACTGTATGCATCCTATTTCATTTAGGGTGATAAAGGACTACAAGTTGAATTTTGTAAATATTGTATGACATTTTCATATGAAGTACACTCATATCATTGTGAAAAAATTTAACTAACTGTCCTTCCTCACTTTAAACGAAATATGGTGAACGCGGTTCTTATATCAGAGGCCTGGCTTGCCTCGAATGTCGCATTGGCCCTGTAAAAGGCTAGCATCTGTGGCTTTCAGTGGAGTTGTATCTTCGGCCACGATAATAAACGACGCTGTATCGAATCCCATTGGAGATGCTGATAATGCGAGGAAAAGTCAAGTGGATGAGATAAGCTTTTAGGAGGCAAGGCGAATTGAAATTTACTGGCATTCTCAGGCCTATTCATCTTATCGTGAGAAAACACAACTAACTGTTCGTTAATCAACTTAGGCGACCAACGCTCACTATGGTCTTATCACTTATACGTACCTTAAGCACACTCCAGGATATTTGTTAAGGCTGTCATGGCAACCCACAATCGTTTTCTCTCCCAAAATCTGTCGAAGGTCCTAACCCTCTCTACCAGTTGAGAAGGCGTAAAAATAGGCCTTCTTGGGTTACTCGCGACAGCTACTGCAACAGACCATGACCCGGGGCTGGGGGACGCCTTTTATCATTTGGGGGATCAAAGACTGGGGATAATCAGGAAATAAGTAGACAATGAAAGCGAGTTTGGCCATGATGGATAAAAAAGATAAATTCAAATGGGAACCACCAAATGAAATGCAAAGTTAAAGTCTTTCACTTCATCACGAGCAGATTCGCTTTCATTCCGAGAAGAAGCGAATCAAAGTAATGTATTTCTCGCATCAATCTGTACCATGATATTTTTAAAAGATAAAAATGAGATATTTTTCATGAGTATTTCGATTCGAACGAGGCCATCAGAAAGCAGAATTTCTAGCAAGCCCTGTAGCTACTCGCTAGATCGGAGTAACGTGACAAAAATCAGATTCATTCATAAATACAAAGAAAAATTGAGTTTCGAATATTCCAATGATGAAATCATGATGTTGTCCCTTTCATTTGATGGATATAATAAAAACAGGATATTGAGTACTCCTTTGGTGGATTTATGTTGCCTTATTTATTTATCGTATCTTGTTTTGTTCGAGGAGCCGAAGGGAAGATATTCGTAAATTGGCTCCACAGGAAGCCAAAAGAGGATTACCTTGACGGCGATCTATATACAATTTTTATATTTATTTCTGCTCGATTGCAAAAAGATCAAGGTGTGAGGTTGGGCATTTTACAAAACATCTTTGCTTTATTTATTGTCCGGTGTTTTGTTGGTGGACCTTTTCAGTTGATGGATTAGAGATTGAGAGCAAAGTGTTTATATAACATATCTAGTTTATGTTTGTATTTTTCGTTTTTTATAATTTTATTTTGAGATATACCTTTTACTAGAAGTATGAAGGACAATGTTTTCGCTGAAAATTTTACTTATTTTATGTATATTAATCGCATGAAATTGTAGCTTTAGTTAGTTAATTAGGATTATTATAGATGAAATATTATACTATTACACTACCCTCTTAAGATGTAGGCATGTGTGGGGCTTCCGAGGAAGAAGTAAAGAGAGGCTATTCGTAAATTAACCTCCCTGTAGTTCTCATGTGAAATACGTTGAAGACAAGTAAGGTTTTCGTACTTGTTGAATTATCGTGAAACATTGTTTTCTGGTTGTGCAATTATTGATACAACGGGGCCTACGGAATCTCAGTTAGAATTCTTTTGGATTGCCGGACTGTGCATCGAGGACCTATTTGCTCGAATCTAGTCACAACTCCAAGACGCTCATATTTGTGCTTCGGTGAGGCTAGTGTATGAATCCCTTTCACTCGTCTCTTCATACAAAATTCATTATATACATTTCTTTTTTTTGAAAAAGTAATTAGATGGTCTTCCGACTTAACTAAAAAGGAATAGTTTTGGATCTGCGACTATTAAATCTGAAGGGAAATCCAATGAACGCATGGGCCTTCTGATTTGAGTATAGGAAAATCCAATAATCTGTCCCTCGTCATATTATGCGAATAAGGGTGAATACAGCCTTTATTAGAGAGTTACTGGTAGTTTTAATACCTAATAAATACTAATATTGTTTTTACTTTTGTGGCTTGAATTTATATCTCGAATGAATAGTTGGTTAAAAGGAATTCGTGATTTGATACCATCGGAAACTTAAAGATAAGTGCCACGTTGTGATAGATTATCTGAATAAATCCTCAAGTCACCATCCTGCATCTCTAATGAACCCGTGCTAAGCTTTCGTCTATAGTATGAAAGACCTCATCGGAGCAAGAATCGGTACCACCAATCAGAACGCACCAATATACTAAAACAAGGGGAAAGTTTGCCTATAATTACTATATTATATCATATTGTTGATGTGTCAATATTCAGGTCCTGAGGCAATCGGCAAATCTTGTATAAAAAAATTTCTTAAATTTAATTAAAATGATGGTTGAAAGGAATTCATGAATTGGTCCTACTGTAAATAGGAGGAGATAAGACCTTTGGGTTGTGCCAAGAAATCCTTTGGTTCTGCCTAGGTGGGTTTGTAGCCGGCAACCTCGTCTACTGATTTAATATATTGGTGCGGTTGTTCGTAAAGTGTGGTATTTCGCTTTGATTATGACTGTCACAGCAAAGCAGACGAAAGCTTATCACAGGTTCATCGGGCTCGCAGGACAGTGAGCAGAGGACTATTTCGCACAATCCAACAGCTTTTCCTGCACGGCCATCTTCTGTCGCTATAGAGTGAGGGGAATTTATGAATTCTTTTCAGCCTACTTTTCCATATAATTTGAAAGTTAAGTTAAGTTAACTCACTGAGGGATCTTTCAAAACCAAGCTTTTCTTTGTATATACTGTTTCATTTCGTCAAGTTCTTGATACTTTCCATTGCAGACATCACCAGAGAAAGACAGCATCATTTTCAAAAATCAAACGAAGCGTGGCCATCGGCACTCATACTTACCATATAAATCAAAGTTTGTGACCTCACTAAGGCATCTCATCATTCGTCTGGGAACCTCGTGTCTAACCTAGTTTCTCTAAGATGAATGAAGTTGGCGTCTTAAAATGAGCTATTTGCACGAATAACTAGCCTAGAATATAATCATACAACGATGATGTGTGCTTATCTTCGTGGTTGATATGCAATTCGATCGAAATTAGGTCATGCTCATTAGTCATTGTAGATGCTTAAGTCCAAACCAGCCTCCAGGTTAATCAAGTTTCCTCTTCCTTTCCTTCTCTCGCTATCTTTAACTTCAAATTTGTCCGATAGCTAAAGGTGATTCCCTTTCAATTGCCTACTCTCTCTACTCAAGTTCTGGAAGAACATGGGTTTTTTTGTATTTTCATTACCCCTCTTCTTAGCCAAGGAAGGATTAGATTTTAGGCTTGAAGTTATTGTTGGTTTGATCGCGTTTTCGTGACTTGGCCTATGAAAAAGAAGGATCATGTCGAAAGTACTTGGTCCTTTGTCCTTTTCCAGAGTGGCCAAGATGTTTTCTAGAGTCGGATCACTGACATGAGAC